AACCGGTGTGCGGAATTTGGCTTTCTAGAAACCGCGCGCAGAGGGCTGGGCTAGGTGACGTGGCGCAGCCAATGGCTGCATGCCACGTGGCTCGGTGGGGGGCAACAAAGGGTTGTTGAGCATGTCGGCTGTGGTGTTCGGCGTCCATTTTTTTTTGCAGGGAAATTTGGCATCCATTTTTTTTGTGGGGAAATTCGGCGTCCATTTTGGCCAGCAGCAGCACGTACAAATGCACGTTACACACGTATGTACTATATACACATATGTGTATAATTGTGTATATTTGAATTGATACATATTTCGCCAATATTAACTCAAATTTTGGATATGTATATTTGTTTATTTAAATTTTGGATATGTATAAACGGCTGAGGCAGGGGAGGCAGTAACTGGGCCTGCGCGATGTATTGGACCGATCTCGCAATTTGAATTTCAATACATCAGAAATTTAAAAAGAATTTTAGGATAGTAGATGATTTCAAATAAAAAAATCATCAACAACAAACACCCTGTTCGCTTGATCATTTCTGTGGCTTATAAGCCGGCTGATACTGTTTTATTGTGAGAGAAAAACATAATATCATGGCTGATACGATCAAGCGAACAGGGTGAAAGTTGTAGAACTCATCGAAATCTATAACTTTTATTTTGGTCATGTCTCCATCCGACTTTATTTGAACAATTTAAAATTTGAATTTCAAAGTATGGCAACTTCAAACAGGATTTTGGGACAGTAAATGATTTTAAATGGAAAAGTTGTCAACAACAAAGTTGTATAAATCATCGAGATATACAACTTTTATTTTGGTCATTTCTCCGTACGACTTCGTTTGAATAATTCGAAATTTGAATTTCAAAATATCAAAACTTCGAATATAATTTTGGCATAGTAAATGATTTCAAATAAAAAGTCGTCAACAGCTAATTTAGAGAACTCATCGAGATCTACAACTTTTATTTTAGTGATTTCTCCATCCAACATAATTCAAACATAGTGGTTGTATACATTGATCACAATTAAATACATCCTTTTGATCTTCCCGTATAACTACGTGAGAGATGTATCAATTTGTGAACAATATATACTGCCACCTAGTTAAAATCATTTGAGTTTTTTAAGTAAAGATTATGTAGCAGAAACATGTTACCATGTAAATTTGTAGAATTTTCTGATAAATTTTAGAGTTATTATAATTATTTTATAGTAATTTAGGAATAGAAGGATGAATTATCCCTAGCAAACAAATGTTTTTCCCTAATAACTCTAGGATATGGTAGAGAGTTAAATGTATGAGTATAAATATGTTTTTTATAATTTTTTTGAGTCTTATTGGAAATACGCATAGTTCAATTAAGAATTACTTTCGGTAAGCACGTAGAAATTCATTTAAATGATAGAAAATATCAAATAAGTTCTAAAATTTTTTAAACTCCTTTACAGCAACGTGTATGTAGACTATTGCTTGTTAAAAAAGTTCTCAAAGTATGAAAGGTACTTTTCCAAAAGTAGCTTCTCAACCGATCATTCTCTATTTGTTTGACAAATAAAAAGACCAATAAGCAGCAATAAAAAAAGCAGTAAGAACGCCATGAATTGATAGAGCATGCTTTTAGAAAACTTTTACAAAAAAGAATCACCACATTTGAAGCCAGTATGAGGGAGAAAAACTAATTACAAGATTTAGTCAGAGATTGAAAAGAGAAACTACACTTGTTCAACAATTTAAAATTTAAAATTTCTATACATGACCAGTTACAAGTTTTAATTCTAGATATATGTTCTTGAAATTGTAGAAAATGATTTTATACTAACACTAGCAAAAAAAATCATTCGATTTGGAGTTCATATGAGTTATATAAACTAATTTCAATTTTTATTCACGCATTAAAAAGTGAAAAACTACTATTCTTATGATTCTTACGATGAGCTTCACGATCAGATTATATAGAGGTGCATTACCTGATAACTTTTATACATATAGAGTAAAGTGCAATTGATATTATAAAAGATGGCGTAGCTCAGTGGTAGAGCTACAGTTTACCACCCTTGTGGTCACGAGTTCGAACCTTTTCGCCTTTTTTATAGAGTTTTTTCCAAACTGGAGCATGAAAGTCTTATATTGTGAAAAAGAAACTTCCAACTATAAGCATGTAAAGTCTTTCATCCCAATGGTAAGCCAACTTGGTTCTAAACCAACAGGTTACGTGTTCCAAGCCCCAATGCTGCATTTTTATTGAACCATTATCCAATAAGCAATGGCTATGACTGACATGTGGGGCCTGAAACGTGAAACTGTATAGTTTCACTTCTATGAGAAGCTCACTTAATTTATAGGGGAAATTGGCTGGCGGACACCCACAGTGATGGTCGTTTGCTGACGGACACCCAAAGTGAAGCTGTATGCTAAAAGATACTCTGGTTTGTTATAATTATGCCAGAAGACACCGTGGGCCGGTTTCCACCGGTTGAGCCATGTTTGGGTCTGGTTGGACCAGCTAATAATTGACCCGAGCCTCGCACAGCCCCTCGTCGGCGCACATGTACCGACACTCACACATCACTCCGAGCCCACCTTCTCCACCACCATCTCCTCCCTAGCTTTTGCCTAACACCGTCGTGCGTGAGCTCCGCCCGGAGAGAAGCTTCTGCCAATTCCACGCGCGCGGCTGCTCGCTGACCCGCCCAGGCCGTCCACCGCCGAGCAGGATCCCCCTCCACCGCCGCCGCGGCAAGCCGAGTAGGCCGGCAGCCGCACTTCCCCACGCCCGGACCTCTACCTCCAATCGCAGGGTCGCGCGGACACGACCTCGACGAGCTCCTACGATGACGGCGAGCAGCACTGGACTGGTGGGCTCCTTAGTCGCGCGGACCCGTGACGAGCTCCTCCACAGCCAGATCCGCAACGAGCTCTTCCACACGCGCCAGATCCGGTGGGGCCTTCCTCCCTCCCTGCTCCCAGCTCGCGGGCCTCTGCTCGGGACGGACGTGCGAGCGCGAGAGCTCCGCCGCCGCCTCTGCCCCTGCCATGGCGCAGCTGCTCGCCGGCCTTGTCTAGCCCCTGCCCCGGCTCGGCTACTCCAGGAGGAAGAAGGAAGAAGATGACGAGTGGGGCCCGCTCTTAGAGGGAGAGAGTGGAGCGGACGGTGCAGGGCGCGGGGCGGTGTGCGTGTGCGGGTGGAACCAAACCAGGCTCGGGTCGGTTACCAACCAGATCCAAACGTGGCTCTGGGGCACCGGATGTTCAAACTGAATTTTTCTCTCTCCGCAACCGGTGGAAACCGGCCCGCGGTGTCCTCTGGCATAATTACAACAAACCAAAGTATCTTCTAGCATACAGCTCCATTTTGGATGTCCGCCAGCAAACAACCACCACTGTGGGTGTCCGCCAGCCAATTTCCCCTAATTTATATGACTAATGCTTTTACTTCGTCACAGTTGTAGGAAGGGGCTGACGCCCACACCTAGCATCCATGACGATCAAGGTAGAATCGTCATGAATGAACCTTATTCGGTGACCAAAATTTGAATCGTTATTCTCAAATCGTCATAGATCAAAGGATTTCTAGCAGTGAGGCCTCGTCCACGATTGGGCCCAGAAACCTCCAGCCCACTGAGCGAGGAGCAGAACGACCGAACCCACAAGCTGCATGCCGTGATGCAGCATCGACAAGAGAGGCCACAGAACCAATCACGATCGCGCTGCGTGGGTGGAAGGTGGGCCCAGATCCCTTCCCCAGCGCCGGTCCACCATCGTCTCTAGGTCCGGTGAACCTCGTCGTTCTTGGCATGTTGGAGGAGCGACTCGGGGCATCATCGAACCCCGGTTCCCAGGTGATAAGCATTGTAGTTGCTATGAGCAAAATTCACCGTCGATCCCTCCACTTGGCTTAAGATGTCATCTAGATTCCTGAACTTATAAAGTGATATCTGTGGGTTTCTAAACTTGGCAGAGGGTGTCATCTAGGTCCCTAAACTTTCAAAGTGATCAGCGCAGGTCCTTAAACTTGGCCGGCGGTGTCATCCCGGTCCAAATATGGTCTAACCCACTCTATAAGCTAGCGTGGCACGCTGACTGTACGTTAGACGTGGATCCAACATGTGTCAATTAATCAATCATTATTTCTATAATATTTATCATGAAATTATAAATTATATAAAACAATTTACATCCGCAAAAAATAAATTAAAGTATTAAAATAATTTACAACAACAAATATATTAGGTTTAAACTAAAATAGAAAATACTAAAATTAATTTAATATTTATGTATCATTAATAGTATTAAAATAATATTAAAAGTTACCTATAGTATTAAAAGTTCTAATACTATGATACTACTATTAAAAGTATTATAGTATAATATTATACTACTATTAATAATACTATTATTAAAAGTTCTAATACTAAAATACTACTATTAAAAGTAATATAGTAAATACTATAATACTATTATTAAAAATTCTCATACTATAATACTATACTACTTTTAATAGTATTATTATAGTATTAGAACTTTTAATAATTATATTATAGTATTAAAAGTTTTAATAATAATGTTATAGTATTATAGTATTAATAATAGAGAAAAACTAATTCTATAATACTACTATTAAAACTTTTAAAATAATACTAAAATTAGAAGTAACTTTTAATAGAGAAAACTTTTAATATTATTTTAATATGAGTGAAATACACCGGCGGCCCTTTAACTTGTCGGTCTGTGCCAATCCGGTCCACGAACTTGCAAACGCGAAAAATAGACTCTGAACTTGTCGAGTTGTTCACCGCAGATTCATTTCTCATCCGGCGCGGCCTCTAGGCGACGTGGCAGTGCCAGTGTGACGGACAAAGCAAGTGAGCCGCACGTTTCAATGGGCCTGCTGCGCTCGCTTGCCGGTCGCGCAAGCCCCGCTCGGCCGCGCCGGTCGTGCCGCGCCGCTCGCCTGCCGGCACCGCGTGCTCCGACGCCTTCGTGGCCCTGCTCCTCGCCGGAGGCCCCATGCCTCGGTCCCTCCTCGCCGGGAACGAAGGCTCCTGCGACCTCACCGGCGACCCCGGCAAGCAGCTCGCGGCGGGTAGCCGCCCGTGCCAGCTGGCCACCATCGTCGCCGTGCGCGCGCTGGCACCGACCGCGCTTCCCAACGCCACGCGCCTCTGCGCCGCGCCGGGCTCGAAGCGCGCGCCGCCCGTACGGCCCGACACGCCCGGTTGCTCCGAGTGCCGCGGCGGGGTGATGGCCACCACCTACGAGATGCTGGCCTTCGCGCACCAAGGATTCGTGCCCTGCGGGATGGCGGCCACCGTCGCCGTCTGGTTGCGCGCGCCCCCGCCGCTACAGCGACTACGCGATCTGCATGCTCTAGGTCCTTGAGAACGTCAACAGCGTCGGCACCGGCGACCTCATCCCTTCACCGCCGCGGCTGCCGCCTGCTGCTGCCTCCGCCACCCAGTCCCCTCCGCCTGCTTCCAGTTCTTCTTCTTCGTCGAGCAAAAGTATTGTGCCCATCGCCGCCGGCTCGGCTACGGCAGTCATCTGTCTCGGCTTCGCCGCCGTGGCAGTTGCAAGAATCCGTCGTCGACGTAGGATGACTGCAGGAGGAGACAGCGAGAGCGGCAACGACTCGAGCGACGACGACGACGACGACTCGGTGGCGTCGCTGCCGCCCCTACCGCGCGAAGGTCTCTACATCTTCACCAAGGCAGAGCTGATGCAAGCTACGAACGGATACGACAAGAAGCTGCTGCTGGGCACTGGCGGCGCCGGGAAGGTGTACCTCGGCCACCTCCCGTCGGGGCAGCGCGTGGCCATCAAGAAGATCTACCGGTCCAAGAAGGTCTCCGAGTTCTACGCGGAGGTGGCCGTGCTCGCCAAGCTGTGGCACCGCAACCTGACCACGCTCGTCGACTACTGCCTCGGCGGCCGCGGCCGCGGCGACCACGCGCTCGTGTACGAGTACATGGCGGGCGGCAACCTGTGGCGCGCGTTGTTCTAGGGAGAGCCTCCGCTCCCGTGGCGGCGGCGGCTGGAGGTGGCCGTGGACGTGGCGGATAGGGGCTGGCTTACCTGCACGGGTTCTGCGAGGGCGCCGTGGTGCACCGCGACGTGAAGCCCACGAACGTGCTGCTGTCGGAGTCCGGCGCCGCGAAGCTGTCGGACTTCGGCGTGTCGCGCATCGTGGGCAAGCGCACGCGGCAGCAAGCACGTGAGTGCGCGGAGCCAGCGCCCAGCGGGCGAGCGCCGTGCCGCGGAGGAGCGCACACGGTGCCGGCGGGCGAGCGTGGCGGCACCGGCAAGCGCACGTGGCAGCAAGCACGCGAGCGCGCGGAGCCAGCGCCCAACGGGCGGTGTGGCGGCTCCGGCAAGCGCATGCGGCAGCGAGCACAGGGAGCCAGCGGGCGAGCGCGGTGCCGGTAGGCAAGCGGCGCGGCACGACCGGCGTGGGCGAGCGGGTGTTGCGCGACCGGCAAGCGAGCGTGGCAGGCCCGTTGAAACGTGCAGCTCACATGCTTGGTCCGCCACGCTGGCACTGCCACGTCGCCTAGAGGCCGCGCCGAATGAAAAATGGACCTGCGGTGAACAACTTGACAAGTTCAGAGGTCTATTTTCCGCGTTTACAGGTTCGTGGACCGGATTGGCACATGCCGATAAGTTAAAGGGCCGCCAGTGTATTTCAGTCTTTTAATATTATTAATGATACATAAATATTAAATTAATTTTAGTATTTTTCTATTTTAGTTTAAACCTAATATATTTGTTGTTGTAAATTATTTTCATTTATTTATTTTTTGCTGATGTAAATTATTTTATAAAATTTATTATTTCATGATAAATATTATATAAATAATGATTGATTAATTGACACATGTTGGATCCACGTCTAACGTACAGTCATCGTGCCACGCTAGCTTATAGAGTAGGTTAGACCACATTTAGACCAGGATGACACCGTCGGCCAAGTTTAAGGACCTATGGTGATCACCTTGAAAGTTCAGGGACCAGGTTGACACCGCCGGTCAAGTTTAGGGACCTGCGGTGATCACCTTGAAAGTTTAGGGACCAGGATGGCACCGTCGGCTAAGTTTAGGGACCTACGACGATCACTTTGAAAGTTTAGGGACCTAGATGACACCATCTGTCAAATTTAAGGACCCACAAATATCACTTTAAAAGTTTAGCGACCTTAATGATACCTTGTGCTAACTTAAGAGACCGGGCGGTGAATTTTGCTCAGTTGCTATTACTGCTATCATCATCATCATCACGACCACCCCAGCCATCGTCATCCGGCGAGCTGAGCGGGTAGTCCAATCCTGGAACTCGACAATGCGCAGACGAACCAGATACGTCAGTGCCGGCAACTCCGCATGGATTACCTCCTCTGCACGAAGGTACAACGGCCCCTCATGGACGTGGACTTGGGGCTCCGGGATGCCGATTATCTTTTCATCCGGAATCAGCCTCGGATGCACGCACCAGCAAGCGACGAACAGCTCACGATCATCCTCATCAACGGCCTCTCGCGGAGCGACGATCTCAACCTGTGCGCACGACGAGCCGAGGACGGTCTGCGTGACGCTGGCCGATCGGGCATGAGAGGGAGTTCCAATCATCCCAACAAGAACTCGAAATCTGAAAGAGCGCGCGGACACCATGGAGGTCCTCCGCCACCGTTTACAAATGAGGGAAAAAGGCGCACCTGGCACAGGCGTGCCCAACATGAGCTCCATGTCCCCCCAACACTGAAATCACACGACGAAGTTCTCAGGTGTGTGGCGGCGAACAGAGACGCGGTCCGCCGGTACCCCGAACGCCTGGAACAGGTGTTGGCCAACCATCTCAGGCGACACAGGCGGACGAGTGCCCCCAACGACTGCGACTAAGGCCAAGGAGAGGGCCTGCTCGGCCGCTTGGAGCTCGGCAGAGCGAGGGACGACGACAAGCTCGGTGAAGCGGCGAGGCGCGGCCGCCGGAGCTGCAACCTGCGGAGCGGCTTCAAACACAGCACGCGCAGCACCCTGGCCCGGGGAAGGCGGAACCTACGGAGCAGCATTGCTCGCCGGGGCAGTGCGGCACGGCACCCTGGCCCGGGGAGGGCGGCGCACAACACCGTGGCACCGAGGGGGAACGCCCGGTGGAGACAAAGCGACCGGACGTAGTGTCGTCGTCGGGAGCCGGTTGCTGTCGAGGCGAGGTTCTGCGCCGAGGGGCTGCACGCCGGCCACCAAACGCACGCGACGGGGAGCGACCACGCTTCGCGTCCCGCTGCAGCCGATGCTGCGCCATGGGACAATGTCGGGCCTGGTGGCCCTCGCACTTGTAGTGAAAGCATCTGGCCGGCACTGTGCAGTTCGCCTTGACATGATCATTGGCGAGATACTTGAAGCAGAGCCCCACAAGGTTGGACGGCACCGGCGAGGAACCCTGGCAGCTCACGGCGGCGCCAACGACGCCGGCTCTACACCTGAGGGAAGCCGTCCGCATCCGGCCGAGCCAACAGCCTCGCTGGATGACCATGACGGAGGCAATGCGCCGCGCCGGCTGATTCAGAGGCGCCGCGGCGTGCGCACGCCTTGCGGCCTCCATGAAGACCGCCGGCGCGCCGCGCGACAACGACGATGGCGGCGCTTCTTCTCATAGTCGACGACGCTCTTGCCCTTCGCATCCACCCTCGGAGAAGGAGGCTCAGAGGCCTCCGACGAGGCCTCCGAATCACTGAAGGAGAGGCAACCCCCTGGACTCCGGCCAGAACGAGGCGGCGACCAGGAGCCGAAGAAAGGCTCCGCGTTCGAGTTGATGCCCTGCGACATGGAGGGACAGCCCGAAACAGCAGGGGGGCTGGGAGCCGAGGAACGACTCCGCATTCGGATTCAGGCCCGGTGACGCGAAAAGGCGTGCAAGACGCACGGCAAACTCCTCGTGTGCAGCAGCGGCGAGCGGCGGAAGCTGCGACGGCGAGGCGGACCTGGAGCGACGGGAGGGCGAACCAGAATCCATATATGGCGAGCGGAGGTTACTGGAGACGATTAGGCGGTAGCGGAGGAGGCGGGAGGCCGGCACCGGAGCGGCGCCAGCGAGCTGGGCTGGTGGACGCCGGGGCCGGCCACCGGCGGACTATGGCGGAGCGCTTAGCAGCTCAACTCACCTGACGCTGTGGCCTGACCTGAACTAGCAGCTTTGCAAATTGCCGACTATTTTTTAGGAGCATGAAACAACGGGACCTAAATTGAATTTCTAGAGGTTGTTGGTAATGTGATCTGTCTCCAAAAATAGATGCAAAACAAATAATCGTAATATGTTCAAATGAAGTTGGATGAAGACGAATTTTACATGCATCCAAGTTGTACAACTCGAAGAGATTTACGTTGCTTTGTAGATTATGACATTTTTATTCGAAATAGTTTAGATAGGGTCCCAAGTATTTGTCGTTTTGAATTCTTAGATTAATTCAAATTTGTAATTTTTTTCAAAACGACCTTGGATGGACACCGGCCTTATATCAAAGTTATAGTGCTTAACGACATCTGAAGCTTTGTAGTTCAAGCGTTTCATTCGAAATCGTACCGTTTAGACAACACAAGATACGTAACAAATAATATGAAAGGATAGCATGCTACAGTGTCACATGTTAGTGTATGATACAGTGGTAGGGTGCTCTCGTGAAGTAAGAGCCCATTAGTGAATACTATTTAATTTGCTTTACTTGAAGTTTCATTTTGTTATAAAAGTTCATAGTCACAAGTTGATTTGTGTGAAGATGAGATGTCGCCAAATCCGCTGTGGCGAGGAGGGTGTCTGCGCCGGCGCATGATAGTATTTATTTACATAAACCAAATTTATACAACAGTCCTGGGAATAACTAGAATAGAGTAATTCAAATTAGAAGAAAGCACCAACATATAAAGTTAAAGGACTTTACTAAATGGAGCGTGCGCACGCGGAGACCGAACCGCTCGGCTGCACCCGCACGCCTATTCTTCTTCTTCCCCCGCCCCTGCCCCCACCTTCTTCTCCCTCCCCGGTGCCTCCTTTCCTGCCACCGGCCGCGTGAGGGTTCTGACTACAGATCCGGTGACGACACCTCCGCCTCCCCCGCCTCCCACCGCCGCGTGGCCCGCCTCCCACAGCCGTGGCACTCTAGGGCTTCGCCCGAACTCTGCGGCCACGGCCACGGCCGGGGAGCTCCGGCGAAGCCCTAGCGTGCCCGCGGTGACCGCCTTCTTCCCCTCCCCCTCCCCCTCCCCCGCCCTCCCGCATGCGGCTATGGCGAACTCCGACGAGCTCCGCCGAAGTCCGGCCATGGCGCCCCCGCCCTGACCTAGCCCGGCCGCCGCTGCCGCCTCCAGCTCCCCTAAAACCGCCTGCCGGCCATCCCCACCGCCTGGGCGGCCTTTCTCCCCTGGTCGGGCCCCTTCTATATCTGCCGGAGTTGGAGAAGAAGGGGCGGCGCGGCTCGCCGGAACCCTAGGCGTCGCCGGAGTTGGAAAAGGCGCGGGCGGGCGCGTGGCGTGGCGCGTGTGCGGGCAGCACGGCCTCCGGCGGCGGCGCTTCTTATCTAGCGAGTTGGTGCGGCGCTTCTTCTCCTGTGAGATGGTGCGGCGCGCACGGGCGCAGGCGAGGGAGAAGAGAGCGTCTGCGCGGCAGCCGGGAGCGAATCGAACGGCCCTTTGGGAGAATCGGATGGCCATCGAGGTGTGCGCGCCGAAGCTTAATCGCCTGCGCGTTCGAAAACAAGCATTTCCCAAAGTTAAAATATATCCTACACGGGAAACGAATCACCGAGAAGAAAATTCCAGTTTCCAGTAGCAGGAAGAGGTAAAGGTACTACTAGGCTTACTCCACGTGTTCTGCCAGAAGTTATCCTATGATATATTTTAGATTTTGCAACAAGTGCATCAAAACAATAGAATCGGAAATGTTGTTTTCATGCAGATTATTTATATAAGCAATAATAAGGCACCAATAAATCTGATTTCAGCTTCAGCGTGTGCGTGTCCTGCTGCTGGATCGCCGGTGACGAAGTTGCTGCTGTTGCTCCTCCTCCATTGGATGTCAGTCAGTGGCCTAAGAGCGAGGAGCAGAGACGCCCAAGCAGCCGTGGAAAAGCGACCTGTTAATTATTATATATATAAAGAAATCATCAAGGCTCGCCCCATAAAACTTCAAAATAGGAGTATATATATATATAATATGCTAATAATCCAGTCAGACTCTGCTTTTCAGTAGTCAACAGCCTGTATACATTTGGTTCAATTCAAAACACATAATTCAACTCATGGTGTGGGAAGTGGGAACAGAGAGTCCATGCGTATATGAAAACTTTAGGGAAAAAATGCTCAAAGGATAAAGCGAGCAGCGTAGAGATGCCCAGGCAGCCATGGAGAACACAAGAGCGATATATAGATGTCAAAAGAATCGGTCGAAATCCAATAAGATTTCAAATACTTATATCTGCTACTTCGGTCAAAATTAGCACATAGTAAGCGCTGAGATTTGAAATGACAGGGCAAACATGTATATATGGCGGCGTGTCCACCAAACAAAAAATGGACAGGGCCGGCATGCAAACACAAGATTTATGCATGCAATCATATACGGGAAAGATTGGTGCGTACCTTCGAGACGGGAATTATCTACGGACGTAGCTTCCATGAGGCCGCTGTCCAGTCGCTGCTGCAGAGCCGAAGGGAGCGATTTTATACCTGGGCACCCCCTAATTGTAAGCCGACGAAGACATGAGTATTCTTGTGGTTCTGTCCCACTGGGCAAGGATGCCAGGCTTTTGCAATCGTACAGACAGAGGAATTCCAGTGCTGAGAAATCTATGGTGCATAATGATTCTAGTGACCGCAACTCTGGGCAGACCATAATTTCTACGCTTTTGAGTGCATCCAGCTGGCCTGATATGAACCGTAGTTTGGAGCAATTTTCAATATCTATTCGCCCGAGGGACGAGGGAAGATTGACAACCTCTAACAACCCGTCACAGTGCCATATTGTTAGAGATTCTAAAGATGATGGAAGGAGCTTATCCGGGTCCGCCGATGGTGACAGCTTCTCCTCAACAGGTGTGGATGCCGCCACGTCATGGGTACTACTAGCCTCTTGATTCAACTGTTGCCTGCCGTATAGGGACTCAAGCTGACAACAGTATCTAACTTCCATCGTCTTGAGAGCAGGGGAGTTGAAGACCTCTACTAGACTTTCACACCGCCATATCTCTAGAGACTCCAGATGGGGCAAAAGTTGGCTCCTTCCTGATGTTTCCTGGTCAGGAGCATTTGCCGCAGCGTATCCAATTAGATTATTGCACATCCAAATCCGTAGCCTCCGCAAGGAAATCAAGCTTTGGAATCGCAGCTATCAATTGTCAGATGCTGCAGCTGCCCATAGCAAACCCACAGTGCTAGTGCACGTGGTTGGAAGAACAAACTGCAGCTGAATAGTTTCATATCTACCACAGACGACGGATGGTCTCACTCCTCCTTATCATCCAGCTTGACGCCCTTCAAAGACAAACTGGACAGTGACGTCATATTTCTGATTCCTCCTAGAGAAATCTGTTGATTTGCTTCCCACAAAACTAGTTCTTTGACCTTTGGTGCCCTAGGCAGAGTTGTTAACTTTCGGCATTTCATGATAACAAGAATCTCAAGCAAAGGGAACAGTGCATGTTCTTCTTCAATTTCAAGGGCAGACTCCCATCTCTCAAAGCTATTTAAATCTTCCAGTATGAGCTTCTTCAGTTCTGGAAAGGCGGACCGGGCCACTGTGTAATCTCCACCACCATACGGTTCTCTGAGCACCGATGCTTCTGGTAATGCTGCCAAATTTTTACAGGCCTTCAATGTGCAATATCTCAAGCTGAGGAAATGCTAACATACCTCCATGTGCTGCCTGACAAAATCCATCAAAAATGTGAAGATTAACTAGCTTAAGATCCTTAAGCTTTCCAAATGTGGAAGATGCACAGCTGCTACACAAGAATTGTAATTTTCCCATTTCTTTCAAATGAAGGAGTTGTAGTTCTGCTAGCTGAGACAATGGAAGGAAACCCATTGGAAGCAGAAGCAGCCTCCTGCCTGCCGCATCCATGTTCAGCTTTTTGAGTCCACATGCAATCGCAAAAGCATCCTATACAGCTTTTTCATTCAGCAGCATAGCAAGAGAAACCACCAATCCAAACTCCTCACCAAAGCATGCATATTTGCCGCGACTACATCAGAGTCACATCACAGAGATGCATGTGCTTAGCTTATCATGAGCGGTGTATATATAATAAAACCAATAATAAAGGCACCAATGAAACTGATTATAAATAAACGGCACTTCATAAATAAATCTCCTCCTGCTTCGTGAACTCTGATTATAATAGTAACAGTAATTCCTTTGACTCAGAAAGAATAGCCAGCGAATCTAATAATTCTATGATCTCATGGATGTAGCCTCCTGCAGAGCAGACCGTTGCTCTGGGTCACTTCGTTCTCCTATGCTATGATGTACTCATGGTGTCTAGTTCTTGCTTTTTACCCTTGCATTGAAGTTGCAGATGAGGGAAGTTTCAGCTTGGGCGTGTACGTCCTTCTTTCTGCTGGATTCATCGCTGGTGACGGTGACCAAGTTGCTGCTGTTGCTCCTCCTCCTCCTCGATTGGATGTCAGCCAGTGGAGAAGGTGGCATTTGGGGTGTGGCCTTCACTCTTCACGCAAGACCGACCAAGTCGCGGAGAAATTAAAGCCAGGAGCAGAGACGCCCACCAAGCAGCCGTGGAGAGCGATCTGTTAATTAAAAAAAAACTCATCAATTAAAGCTTTTAACATATGCTAATTCGATCGTAACTTTGCTTTCAAGTAGTCAAGAGCCTGTATACATTTGGTCCAATTATAAACACACAATTCAACTCATGGTGTGGGAAGTGGGAACAGAGAGTCCATGCGTATAAGAAAACTCTAGGGAAAAATCCTCAAAGGATAAAGCGAGTAGCGGAGAGGTAGAGATGCCCAGGCAGCCATGGAGAACACAAGAGCGATATATATATGTCAAAGAATCGTCGAAATCCAATAAGATTTCAAAAATACATATATCTGCTGCTTCGATCAAAATTAGCACATAGACATAGTAAGCGCTGAGATTTGAAATGACAGGGCAAACATGTATATATGGCGGCGTGTCCACCAAACAAAAAATGGACAGGGCTGGCATGCAAACACAGGATTTATGCATGCACCATATACAGGAAAGATTGGTGCGTACCTTCAAGAAGAGAATCTAGATCCATAGCTTCCATGAGGCCGCTGTCCAGTCGCTGCTGCAGAGCCGAAGGGAGCGATTTTATACCTGGGCACCCCCTAATTGTAAGCCGACGAAGAGATGAGTATTCTTGTGGTTCTGGCCCACTGGGCAAGGATGCCAGGCTTATGCAACCCCACAAAGCGAGGTCTTCCAGTGCTGAGAGATCTATGATACATAATGATTCTAGTGACTGCAACTCTGGGCAGCCCATAATTTCTACGCTTTTGAGTGCATCCAGCTGGCCTGATATAACATTTTACAAACTAAACAAGGCCTAAGACCAACAAAGCAGTGGGGCGTAGCCTTCGTTACCTGGGTCTGGTTTAGATTGCAAGTTTTTTCACTCTCTTTCTGTCATATCAAATCTTTAGACACATGTATAGAGTATTAAATATAGATAAAAAAATAATTAATTTCATAGTTTGATTATAAATTACGAAACGAATCTTTTGAGCCTAGTTAAGTCATAATTGGATAATAATTGTCAAATACAAATAAAAATGTTATAGTACTAAATACTGATTTATAGCCCAATCTAAACAAGTCGCTGACTATTTTATGGTCGGCAATAAAGGAGGGCCAGGGCCAGGGGACAAGGTCACATGGCCGGCAGCCAGCCACCCTTGACTGACTGCTATCAATTGTTCATCAAAACAATTGATGGAGGGACGTGCAGCCTTGGCTGACTGCTATCGACACAAAAATCTCTTAGGAGTCGCGCATGCCACGCGGCCAGCGATTTTGATTGATGGCCAAGGGACTGTCGCGTGGGCTCGATCACCCCAAGTCCCCCAAAACCACCGTATGAGTCCCTCCTCATTTTCTATTTTTATTCTTAGCGCGTGTCCTAAAATCCTAAAAAGTACTAAAAAGTACTACAGTATCTATCACATCAAATCTTGCGATACGTGTATGGAGTATTAAATATAGACGAAAAAAAACTAATTGCACAGTTTAGTTGAAAATTACGAGACGAACGTTTTAAGCCTACTTAGTCTATGATTGAACACTAATTGTTAAATATAAATGAAAGTGCTACGATAGCCTAAATTTCCAAATTCAAGGAACTAAACATGCGCTTATCAGTACTCCAATCATATGCGGTTGGCTAGCTGCGTCGGCGGGCGAGCAGTCCACCCGGGTTGGATCCCTGACACGACTCGTGTGCCTCACCGTTGCTCGGGATTTTCTCGGATTTCTGCTTCTCGCGCGTGATACTACAATGGGATCGTGACGTGCCCGTCGTCTACGAAATCAGTGGATTTCGATGATCTTAAGAAGGACGCAGTCTTCAGATCTATGTGTAGTTATAGATTTGTTTGTACATAGATGGTGTGAGCTGTGTGCGTGTGTTGAATAGACGTACATGTATTTGAACAGATGCTACAGCTGTACCTATAATAGGCATAAAAAAAATGCGTTGCTTGACTCACCTGCCTGAGCCTGCGGCATCCATGTTCAGCTTTTTGAGTCCATGCAAATGCAAAAGCATCCGTCTGGGGTCACATGTTCAGCTTTTTTAGGGTCCCAAGTATATGTTTTGAATCCTTAGATTAACCAAACAACCTCGGATGAAGACCTGCTATGTACCAAAGTCGCAGTGCTCGACAAGATATGTGGTTCAAGCTAGTTTCATCTAAACTCATTTAGACATCGAAATTTTCAATACAAGATTAGTAAAAAATAGTATAAAAGGATAGCATCCTACGCTTGCCACATGCTAGTGTATGATATAGTGGTAGGGTGCTCCCGTGAAGTAAGAGCCCGCTAGTGAACGAATAATACCGCCATATAAAGTTAATGTATTGTTATTATAAAGGTTTCATATTAATTAGAAGAATTCTAGGAATAATTAGAATAGAGAATTGTTCATCTTAGAAGTAAGTACCGACATATAAACGTACATAGGAAATGAATCTATAAAGTTCAAGAGCTAAAGGTATTACGTACTAGGCTTACACCGGCGTGTTTTGCATGAGGTTAGAGCATCTCCAATATAGTTCCTTAAAAAGCAATTGGTAAATCAATGAGTTTTCTAAGTAGATAAAAAAGTTGGGAGCACATTTGTTAAGTTTAATTTCTCTAATATTTTACAAAATCTCGCTCCTAAAATATAGAATACAATTTTGCATCAGGAATCCCGCACGGACCATTTCCAAATCACCCTAACTACTTTTATATTTTCTCTCTATTGCACATTTGCATTGAAAACCCGTCCTACCACCTCTAGATTGGCCGGTCGATATATACGTGCTTGTATATTTCCCCGCGATTGCTTGAAAACCCGTGCTCATGCACAGTTGCTGCTGTTGCTCCTCCTCCTCCTCCTCCATTGGATGTCAGTCAGTGGCCTAAGAGCGAGGAGCAGAGACGCCCAAGCAGCCGTGGAAAGCGACCTGCTAATTATTATATATATAAAGAAATCATCAAAGCTCGCCCAATAAAACTTAAAAATAGGAGTATATATATGCCAATAATCCAGTCAAACTCTGCTTTTCAGTTCTCAACAGCCTGTATACATTTGGTCCAATTCTAAACACACAATTCAACTCATGGTGTGGGAAGTCGGAACAGAGAGTCCATGCGTATATGAAAACTCTAGGGGAAAATGCTCAATGGATAAAGCGAGCAGCGGAGAGGTAGAGATGCCCAGGCAGCCATGGAGAACACAAGAGCGATATATAGATGTCAAAGAATCGTCGAAATCCAATAAGATTTCAAAAATACATATATCTACTGCTTCGGTCAAAATTAGCACATAGACATAATAAGCGCTGAGATTTGAAATGACAGGGCAAACATGTATATATGGTGGCGTGTCCACCAAACAAAAAATGGACAGGGCTGGCATGCAAACACAGGATTTATGCATGCACCATATACGGGAAAGATTGGTGCGTACCTTCAAGACGAGAATCTAGATCCGTAGCTTCCACGAGGCCGCTGTCCAGTCGCTGCTGCAGAGCTGAAGGGAGCGATTTTATACCTGGGCAGTCACTAAGGGCGTGTTTAGTTCCGAAAATTTTTGGCTTTTAGCTACTATAGTACTTTCGTTTATATTTGGTAAAAATTGTCTAATTATGGACTATTTAGGCTTAAAAGATTCGTCTCATGATTTTTCGGCCAACTATGTAATTAGTTTTTTTTTTTCGTCTACATTTAGTACTCCATGCATACATGTGCCATAAGATTTGATATGACGGATACTGCGCAAAAATTTTTGGATTTTGGGTGAAACTAAACGGGGCCTAATTACAAGCCAACGAAGAGATGAGTAGTCTTGTGGTTCTGGCCCACTGGGCAAGAATGCCAGGCTTTTGCAATGCCACAGAATGAGGTTTTCCAGTGCTGAGAGATCTATGATGCATAATGATTCTAGTGACCGCAACTCTGGGCACTTCCAAAATGCTACGCTTTCGAGTGCATCCAGCTCGCCTGATATGAACCGTAGTTTGGAGCAATTTTGAATATCTATTCGCCTGAGGGACGAGGGAAGATTGGCAACCTTTAACAACCCGTCACAGCCCCATATTCTTAGAGATTCTAAAGATGATGCAAGGAGCTTATCCGGGTCCGCCGATGGTGACAGCTTCTCCTCAACAGGTGTGGGTGCCGCCACGTCATCGGTACTACTAGCCTCTTGATTCAACTGTTGCCTGCCGTATAGGGACTCAAGCTTACAACATACTATAACTTGCATCCTCTTGAGAGCAGGGGAGTTGAAGACCTCTACCAGACTTCCACACTGCAATATCTCTAGAGACTCAAGATGGGGCAAAAGTCGGCTCCTTCCTGATGTTTCC